CAGCGGGCCTGTCCCTTGCAGCGGCTGTCCTGCCGCCGGCCTGTGATCCCCCTCAGCAGAGGCCTGGTCCTCAGCCAGCGGCCAGGACCTTTGGCGCGGCTGTCCGCCTGCCAGCGCGCTGTCCCTGCAGCTGGCTCCTGTCCCCTATGCCAGCGGGTCTGTCCCTGCAGCGGTCCTTGTCCCATAGTTCGCCAGCGCTGTCCCTGCAGCGGGCCTTGCTCTCTGCCGCGGGGCCTGCTTCCTGGCCGTCGGCCCTTGTTCTCTGGCAGCGGCCTGTGCTCTGCAGCGGCGGCCTGTCCCTTTGGAGCGGGCTGTCTCTGTCAGCGGCCTGTACCCTGCAGCGGCCTGATCTCCTGCATGCCGCGCCTTGTACTCTATTGGATGCGGCCTGTCCCTGCCAGGCGGCCGGTTCCCGCCAGCGGGCCTATGTCCCTCTTTGGCGCTGGCCTTGCTCCCTGCAGGGCTCTTGTCCCTGGCAGCGGAGCTGTTCCACTTCTGGATGCGGCGCCTGGTCCCTGCAAGCGGGCCCCTGTCCACTGCTAGCTGGCCCTGCTCCCTTTGGAGCTGGACCGGTCCCTTTGGAGCGCGGCCTGTCCCTGCCGCTAGGTCCTGTCTCCGTGCCAGCTGGCCTGTCCCTTGGGATTGCGGCCTAGTCCCTGCAGCGTGCCTGTCCCTTGCAGCGGAGCTGTCCCTTTGGAGTCGGCCTAGTTCCCTTTGGAGCGGCCTGCTCCCTGCTCGCGGTCACCTGTCCCTTTGCAGCGGCCGGTCCCTGCACGCCGGCCTGTCCCCTGGGTCAGCGGCATGGTCCTCTTGTGGCACGCGGCCTGTCAACTTGTGGCACGCGGCCTGTTCCTGGCATGCTGGCCTCTGTCCCTGGCAACTGGTCCTGCTACCTTTTTGGCGGGGCACTGCGTCCCTAGCCACCGGCCTGCCCTTTGGTAGCGGCGCTGGTGGTCCCTTTGTGCACACTGCTCGGATCGCGGCGTCGTCCCTGCAGCTGCGCCTGCTCCTATTGGATGAGCGGCCTGTTCATGCCAGCGCGGCCTGTTTCCTGCTAGCGGCCTGTTCCGTGCAGCCAGCGGCCCTCGTTCCTGCCGCTGGCCTGCCTGTCCTGCCAGCCGCAGCCTGTCTCGTCCCCCCCCCCCCCCCCCCCCCCCTTTGGAGCGGGGCCATGCTCCTCCTTTGGAGCGGACTCACGTCCCTAGCCGCGGCATGTCCCTGTGCTCGCGGCCAATGTCCTTCTGGCCGCAGGGCCTGTTTCCTGCGAGCGCGGGTCTGTCCCATTGGGTCGCGCGGCCTGTCCCTTTTTGGCCGGTCGGCCCCTGTCTCGCTGGCCGCGGCCTGATCCCTGCCGACGGCCTGTCCCTATTGGAGCAGGCCTGCTGTCACCTTGTTGGCCGTCGTGCCTGTCCTGCCGCGCGCTACCAGCGCTTCCTGCCCCTGTTCATGCGGCTTCTGTCCTCCTTGCCGAGCGGCGTAGCCGTGTCCCCTGCTGCGCGGCCCATGCCCCCTATTCGGCCTGCGGGGCCCATTGTGCCTCTGGCCGCAGGCCTGCCCCTTCCATGGCGCGCCCGGCCCCATGCACCCCCCGCGGCCATATCTCCTCCGCATGCGGGCCTGTCTCCTTTTGGCTGGCTGGCCGTGATCCTTGTCGTAGCCGGGCTACTTTTTGTTCCCTTTGGATGCGGCCTGTGCCCTTTGGACGCGCGCCTGTTCCTGGAGCGGCAGCTGTCCCTTTGGAAGCGGCCTGTCCCTTTGGAGCGGACGCTGTCTCTGCAGCGGCCTTGTCCCCTGCAAGCGGCCTGAGTCCCTGCAGCGGCCTGTCCCTTTGGAGCGGCCTGTCTCTGGAGCGGCCTGTCCCTGCAACGGCCTGTCCCTTTGGAGCGGCCTGTCCCTTTGGAGCGGCCTGTCTCCTGCAGCGGCCTGTCCCTTTGGAGCGGCCTGTCTCTGCAAGCGGCCTGTCCCTGCAGCGGCCTGTCGCTGCAGCGGGCCTTGTCCCATGCAACGGCCCTGTCCACCTACTTGGAGCGGCCTGTCCCTGCAGCGGCCTGTTCCTGCAGCGGCCTGTTCCTGCAGCGGCCTGTTCCTGCAGCGGCCTGTCCCTGCAGCGGCCTGTCCCTTTGGAGCGGCCTGTCCCTTTGGAGCGGCCTGTCCCTGCAGCGGCCTGTCCCCTGCAGCCGGCCTGTCCCTTGGAGCGGCCTGTCTCTCTGCAGCGGCCTGTCCCTGCAGCGGCCTGTCCCTTTGGAGCGGCCTGTTCCTGGAGCGGCCTGTCCCTGCAGCGGCCTGTCCCTTTGGAGCGGCCTGTCCCTTTGGACGGCTGTCCCCTTTGGAGCTTTGGAGCGGCCTGTCCCTGCAGCGGCCTGTCCCTGCAGCGGCCTGTCCCTGCAGCGGCCCTGTCCCTGCAGCGGCCTGTCCCTGCAGCGGCCTGTCCCTTGCAGGCGGCCTGTCCCTGGAGCGCCCTGTCCCTTTGCGAGCGGCGCCTGTCCCTTTGAGCGCCTGTCCCTTTGGAGCGGCCTGTCCCTGCAGCGGCCTGTCCCTGCAGCGGCTGTTCCTGGAGCGGCCTGTCCCTGCAGCGGCCTGTCCCTGCAGACGGCCTGTCCCTTGGAGCGGCCTGTCCCTTTGGAGAGCGGCCTGTCCCTTTGGAGCGGCCTGTCCCTGCAGCGGCCTGTCCCTGCAGCGGCCTGTTCCTGCAGCGGCCTGTCCCTGCAGCGGCCTGTCCCTGCAGCGGCCTGTCCCTTGCGAGCGGCCTGTCTCCTGCAGCGGCCTGTCCCTGCAGCGGCCTGTCCTGCGGCCTGTCCTGCAGCGGCCCTGTCCCTTTGGAGCGGCCTGTCCCTTTGGAGCGCGCCTGTCCCTGCATGCGGGCCTGCCTGCTCCTTTGGAGCGGCCTGTCCCTTTGGAGCGGCCTGTCCCTGCAGCGGCCTGTCCCTGCAGCGGCCTGTCCCTGCAGCGGCCTGTCCCTGGAGCGGCCTGTTCCTGGAGCGGCCTGTCCCTTTGGAAGCGGCCTGGCCTTTGAGCGGCCTGTCCCTTTGGAGCGGCCTGTTCCTGCAGCGGCCTGTCCCTTTGGAGCGGCCTGTCCCTTTGGAGCGGCCTGTTCCTGCAGCGGCGCCTGTCCCTTTGGAGCGGCCTGTCCCTTGGAGCGGCCTGTCCCTGCAGCGGCCTGTCCCTGCAGCGGCCCTGTCCCTGCAGCGGCCTGTCCCTTTGGAGCGGCCTGTCCCTGCAGCGGCCTGTCCCTTTGGAGCGGCCTGTCCCTGCAGCGGCCTGTCCCTGCAGCGGCCTGTCCCTTGCAGCGGCCTGTCCCTGCAGCGGCCTGTTCCTGCAGCGGCCTGTCCCTTTGGAGCGGCCTGTCCCTTTGGAGCGGCCTGTCCCTTTGGAGCGGCCTGTCCCTTTGGACGGCCTGAGCGGCCTGTCCCTGCCAGCGGCCTGTCCCTGCAGCGGCCTGTCCCTGCAGCGGCCTGTCCTGCAGCGGCCTGTCTCTGCAGCGGCCTGTCCCTTTGGAGCGGCCTGTCCCCTTTGGAGCGGCCTGTCTCTGCAGCGGCCTGTCTGCTGCAGCGGCCTGTCCCTGCAGCGGCCTGTCCCTGCAGCGGCCTGTCCCTTTGGAGCGGCCTGTCCCTGCAGCGGCCTGTCCCTGCAGCGGCCTGTCCCTTTGGAGCGGCCTGTCCCTTTGGAGCGGCCTGTCCCTGCAGCGGCCTGTCCCTTGCAGCGGCCTGTCCCTGCAGCGGCCTGTCCCTGCAGCAGGCCTGTCCCCTGTTGGAGCGGCCTGTCCCTTTGGAGCGGCCTGTTCCCTGGAAGCGGCCTGTCCCTGCAGACGGCCTGTCCCTTTGGAGCGGCCTGTCCCTTTGGAGCGGCCTGCCCTGCCCCTTCGCAGCGGCCTGTCCCTGCAGCGGCCTGTCCCTTTGGAGCGGCCTCTCAGCGGCTGTCCTGCGCGGCCTGTCCCCTGAAGCGCCTGTCCCTGCAGCGGCCTGTCCCTTTGGAGCGGCCTGTTCCTGCAGCGGCCTGTTCCTGCAGCGGCCTGTCCCTTTGCGAGCGGCCTGTCCCTGCAGCGGCCTGTCCCTTGCAGCGGCCTGTCCCTGCAGCGGCCTGTCCCTGCGAGCTGGCCTGTCGCGCCTGTTGGAGCGCTGTCCTGTACTGCCTGTCCCTGCAGCGGCCTGTCCCTTTGGAGCGGCCTGTCCCTTTGGCACGCTTTGAGCGGCCTGTCCCTGCAGCGGCCTGTCCCTGCAGCGGCCTGTCCCTTTGGAGCGTGTCGGGCCTGTCCCTTTGGAGCGGCCTGTCCCTTTGGAGCGGCCTTGTCCCTGCAGCGGCCTGTTCCCTGCAGCGGCCTGTCCCTCCGCGCGCCGTCTGCCTCCCCCCTGCAGCGGCCTGTCCCTTTGGAGCGGCCTGTCCCGGCCTGCCCTGCAGCGGCCTGTCCCTGCAGCGGCCTGTCCCTTTGGAGCGGCCTGTCCCTTTGGAGCGCCTGTTTCCTGCAGCGGCCTGTCCTGTCCCTTTTGGAGCGGCCTGTCCCTTTGGCAGCGGCCTGTTCCTGCAGCGGCCTGTCCCTTTGGAGCGGCCTGTCCCTGCAGCGGCCTGTTCCTGCATGCGTCCTGTCCCTTTGCAGGCGCCTGTCCCTGCAGCGGCCTGTCCCTGCAGCGGCCTGTCCCACTGTGGAGCGGCCTGTCCCTTTGGAGCGGCCTGTCCCTGCAGCGGCCTGTCCCTGCAGCGGCCTGCAGCGGCCTGTCCCTCAGCGGCCTGTCCCTTTGCGGCCTGTCCCTGCAGCGGCCTGTCCCTTTGGCAGCGGCCTGTCCCCCTGCTGGAGCGGCCTGTCCCTGCAGCGGGTCCCTGCAGCCTGTCTCTGCAGCGGCCTGTCCCTGCAGCGGCCTGTCCTTTGGAGCGGCCTGGTCTCTGCAGCGGCCTGTCCCTGCAGCGGCCTGTTCCCTGCAGCGGCCTGTCCCTGCAGCGGCCTGTCCCTTGGAGCGGCCTGTCCCTGCAGCGGCCTGTCCCTGCAGCGGCCTGTCCCTTTGGAGCGGCCTGTCCCTGCAGCGGCCTGTCCCTGCAGCGGCCTGTCCCTTTGCGCGGCTGTCTCTGCAGCGGCGCAGCCCTGTCCCTTTGGAGCGGCCTGTCCCTGCAGCGGCCTGTCCCTGCAGCGGCCTGTCCCTTTGGAGCGGCCTGTCCCTTTGGAGCGGCCTGTCCCTGCAGGCCTGTCTCTGTCCCTGCAGCGGCCTGTCCCTGCAGCGGCCTGTCCCTGCAGCGGCCTGTCCCTGCAGCGGCCTGTCCCTTTGGAGCGGCCTGTTCCCTGGAGCGGCCTGTCCCTGCAGCGGCCTGTCCCTGTCGGCCTGTCCCTTTGGAGCGGCCTGTCCCTTTGGAGCGGCCTGTCCCTTTGGAGCAGCGGCCTGTCCCTGCAGCGGCCTGTCCCTGCAGCGGCCTGTCCCTGCAGCGGCCTGTCCCTTTGGAGCGGCCTGTCCCTTTGGAGCGGCCTGTCCCTTTGGAGCGGCCTGTCCCTGCAGCGGCCTGTCCCTGCAGCGGCCTGTTCCTGCAGCGGCCTGTCCCTGCAGCGGCCTGTTCCTGCAGCGGCCTGTTCCTGCAGCGGCCTGTTCCTGCAGCGGCCTGTCCCTGCAGCGGCCTGTCCCTTTGGAGCGGCCTGTCCCTTTGGAGCGGCCTGTCCCTGCAGCGGCCTGTCCCTGCAGCGGCCTGTCCCTGCAGCGGCCTGTCCCTTTGGAGCGGCCTGTTCCTGGAGCGGCCTGTCCCTTTGGAGCGGCCTGTCCCTTTGGAGCGGCCTGTTCCTGCAGCGGCCTGTCCCTTTGGAGCGGCCTGTCCCTTTGGAGCGGCCTGTCCCTGCAGCGGCCTGTCCCTGCAGCGGCCTGTCCCTTTGGAGCGGCCTGTCCCTGCAGCGGCCTGTCCCTGCAGCGGCCTGTCCCTGCAGCGGCCTGTTCCTGCAGCGGCCTGTCCCTTTGGAGCGGCCTGTCCCTTTGGAGCGGCCTGTTCCTGGAGCGGCCTGTCCCTGCAGCGGCCTGTCCCTGCAGCGGCCTGTCCCTGCAGCGGCCTGTCCCTTTGGAGCGGCCTGTCCCTTTGGAGCGGCCTGTCCCTTTGGAGCGGCCTGTTCCTGCAGCGGCCTGTCCCTTTGGAGCGGCCTGTCCCTTTGGAGCGGCCTGTTCCTTTGGAGCGGCCTGTCCCTTTGGAGCGGCCTGTCCCTTTGGAGCGGCCTGTCCCTTTGGAGCGGCCTGTCCCTTCAGCGGCCTGTCCCTTTGGAGCGGCCTGTCCCTGCAGCGGCCTGTCCCTGCAGCGGCCTGTCCCTGCAGCGGCCTGTCCCTTTGGAGCGGCCTGTCCCTTTGGAGCGGCCTGTCCCTTTGGAGCGGCCTGTCCCTGCAGCGGCCTGTCCCTGCAGCGGCCTGTTCCTGGAGCGGCCTGTCCCTGCAGCGGCCTGTCCCTGCAACGGCCTGTCCCTTTGGAGCGGCCTGTCCCTTTGGAGCGGCCTGTCCCTTTGGAGCGGCCTGTCCCTGCAGCGGCCTGTCCCTGCAGCGGCCTGTTCCTGCAGCGGCCTGTCCCTGCAGCGGCCTGTCCCTGCAGCGGCCTGTTCCTGCAGCGGCCTGTTCCTGCAGCGGCCTGTTCCTGCAGCGGCCTGTCCCTGCAGCGGCCTGTCCCTTTGGAGCGGCCTGTCCCTTTGGAGCGGCCTGTCCCTGCAGCGGCCTGTCCCTGCAGCGGCCTGTCCCTTTGGAGCGGCCTGTTCCTGGAGCGGCCTGTCCCTTTGGAGCGGCCTGTCCCTTTGGAGCGGCCTGTTCCTGCAGCGGCCTGTCCCTTTGGAGCGGCCTGTCCCTTTGGAGCGGCCTGTCCCTGCAGCGGCCTGTCCCTGCAGCGGCCTGTCCCTTTGGAGCGGCCTGTCCCTGCAGCGGCCTGTCCCTGCAGCGGCCTGTCCCTGCAGCGGCCTGTTCCTGCAGCGGCCTGTCCCTTTGGAGCGGCCTGTCCCTTTGGAGCGGCCTGTCCCTTTGGAGCGGCCTGTCCCTGCAGCGGCCTGTCCCTTTGGAGCGGCCTGTCCCTTTGGAGCGGCCTGTCCCTTTGGAGCGGCCTGTCCCTTTGGAGCGGCCTGTTCCTGGAGCGGCCTGTCCCTTTGGAGCGGCCTGTCCCTGCAGCGGCCTGTCCCTGCAGCGGCCTGTCCCTTTGGAGCGGCCTGTTCCTGCAGCGGCCTGTCCCTGCAGCGGCCTGTCCCTTTGGAGCGGCCTGTCCCTGCAGCGGCCTGTCCCTGCAGCGGCCTGTCCCTGCAGCGGCCTGTCCCTTTGGAGCGGCCTGTCCCTTTGGAGCGGCCTGTCCCTGCAGCGGCCTGTCCCTTTGGAGCGGCCTGTCCCTTTGGAGCGGCCTGTTCCTGCAGCGGCCTGTCCCTGCAGCGGCCTGTCCCTTTGGAGCGGCCTGTCCCTTTGGAGCGGCCTGTTCCTGCAGCGGCCTGTCCCTTTGGAGCGGCCTGTCCCTTTGGAGCGGCCTGTTCCTGCAGCGGCCTGTCCCTGCAGCGGCCTGTCCCTTTGGAGCGGCCTGTCCCTTTGGAGCGGCCTGTCCCTGCAGCGGCCTGTCCCTTTGGAGCGGCCTGTCCCTTTGGAGCGGCCTGTCCCTGCAGCGGCCTGTCCCTGCAGCGGCCTGTCCCTGCAGCGGCCTGTCCCTTTGGAGCGGCCTGTCCCTGCAGCGGCCTGTCCCTTTGGAGCGGCCTGTCCCTGCAGCGGCCTGTCCCTGCAGCGGCCTGTCCCTGCAGCGGCCTGTCCCTGCAGCGGCCTGTTCCTGCAGCGGCCTGTCCCTTTGGAGCGGCCTGTCCCTTTGGAGCGGCCTGTCCCTTTGGAGCGGCCTGTCCCTTTGGAGCGGCCTGTCCCTGCAGCGGCCTGTCCCTGCAGCGGCCTGTCCCTGCAGCGGCCTGTCCCTGCAGCGGCCTGTCTCTGCAGCGGCCTGTCCCTTTGGAGCGGCCTGTCCCTTTGGAGCGGCCTGTCTCTGCAGCGGCCTGTCTCTGCAGCGGCCTGTCCCTGCAGCGGCCTGTCCCTGCAGCGGCCTGTCCCTTTGGAGCGGCCTGTCCCTGCAGCGGCCTGTCCCTGCAGCGGCCTGTCCCTTTGGAGCGGCCTGTCCCTTTGGAGCGGCCTGTCCCTGCAGCGGCCTGTCCCTGCAGCGGCCTGTCCCTGCAGCGGCCTGTCCCTGCAGCGGCCTGTCCCTTTGGAGCGGCCTGTCCCTTTGGAGCGGCCTGTTCCTGGAGCGGCCTGTCCCTGCAACGGCCTGTCCCTTTGGAGCGGCCTGTCCCTTTGGAGCGGCCTGTCCCTGCAGCGGCCTGTCCCTGCAACGGCCTGTCCCTTTGGAGCGGCCTGTCCCTTTGGAGCGGCCTGTCCCTGCAGCGGCCTGTCCCTTTGGAGCGGCCTGTTCCTGCAGCGGCCTGTTCCTGCAGCGGCCTGTCCCTTTGGAGCGGCCTGTCCCTGCAGCGGCCTGTCCCTGCAGCGGCCTGTCCCTGCAGCGGCCTGTCCCTTTGGAGCGGCCTGTTCCTGGAGCGGCCTGTCCCTTTGGAGCGGCCTGTCCCTTTGGAGCGGCCTGTCCCTGCAGCGGCCTGTCCCTGCAACGGCCTGTCCCTTTGGAGCGGCCTGTCCCTTTGGAGCGGCCTGTCCCTGCAGCGGCCTGTTCCTGCAGCGGCCTGTCCCTGCAGCGGCCTGTCCCTTTGGAGCGGCCTGTCCCTTTGGAGCGGCCTGTCCCTGCAGCGGCCTGTCCCTGCAGCGGCCTGTCCCTTTGGAGCGGCCTGTCCCTTTGGAGCGGCCTGTTCCTGCAGCGGCCTGTCCCTTTGGAGCGGCCTGTCCCTTTGGAGCGGCCTGTTCCTGCAACGGCCTGTCCCTTTGGAGCGGCCTGTCCCTGCAGCGGCCTGTTCCTGCAGCGGCCTGTTCCTGCAGCGGCCTGTTCCTGCAGCGGCCTGTCCCTGCAGCGGCCTGTCCCTTTGGAGCGGCCTGTCCCTTTGGAGCGGCCTGTCTCTGCAGCGGCCTGTCCCTGCAGCGGCCTGTCTCTGCAGCGGCCTGTCCCTGCAGCGGCCTGTCCCTTTGGAGCGGCCTGTCCCTGCAGCGGCCTGTCCCTTTGGAGCGGCCTGTCCCTTTGGAGCGGCCTGTCCCTTTGGGGCGGCCTGTTCCTGGAGCGGCCTGTCCCTGCAACGGCCTGTCCCTTTGGAGCGGCCTGTCCCTTTGGAGCGGCCTGTCCCTGCAGCGGCCTGTCCCTTTGGAGCGGCCTGTCCCTTTGGAGCGGCCTGTCTCTGCAGCGGCCTGTCCCTGCAGCGGCCTGTCTCTGCAGCGGCCTGTCCCTGCAACGGCCTGTCCCTTTGGAGCGGCCTGTCCCTTTGGAGCGGCCTGTCCCTGCAGCGGCCTGTCCCTGCAGCGGCCTGTTCCTGCAGCGGCCTGTTCCTGCAGCGGCCTGTCCCTGCAGCGGCCTGTCCCTTTGGAGCGGCCTGTCCCTTTGGAGCGGCCTGTCCCTGCAGCGGCCTGTCCCTGCAGCGGCCTGTCCCTTTGGAGCGGCCTGTCTCTGCAGCGGCCTGTCCCTGCAGCGGCCTGTCTCTGCAGCGGCCTGTCCCTGCAGCGGCCTGTCCCTTTGGAGCGGCCTGTTCCTGGAGCGGCCTGTCCCTGCAGCGGCCTGTCCCTTTGGAGCGGCCTGTCCCTTTGGAGCGGCCTGTCCCTTTGGAGCGGCCTGTCCCTGCAGCGGCCTGTCCCTGCAGCGGCCTGTCCCTGCAGCGGCCTGTCCCTTTGGAGCGGCCTGTCCCTTTGGAGCGGCCTGTCCCTTTGGAGCGGCCTGTCCCTGCAGCGGCCTGTCCCTGCAGCGGCCTGTTCCTGCAGCGGCCTGTCCCTGCAGCGGCCTGTTCCTGCAGCGGCCTGTTCCTGCAGCGGCCTGTTCCTGCAGCGGCCTGTCCCTGCAGCGGCCTGTCCCTTTGGAGCGGCCTGTCCCTTTGGAGCGGCCTGTCCCTGCAGCGGCCTGTCCCTGCAGCGGCCTGTCCCTTTGGAGCGGCCTGTTCCTGGAGCGGCCTGTCCCTTTGGAGCGGCCTGTCCCTTTGGAGCGGCCTGTTCCTGCAGCGGCCTGTCCCTTTGGAGCGGCCTGTCCCTTTGGAGCGGCCTGTCCCTGCAGCGGCCTGTCCCTGCAGCGGCCTGTCCCTTTGGAGCGGCCTGTCCCTGCAGCGGCCTGTCCCTGCAGCGGCCTGTCCCTGCAGCGGCCTGTTCCTGCAGCGGCCTGTCCCTTTGGAGCGGCCTGTCCCTTTGGAGCGGCCTGTTCCTGGAGCGGCCTGTCCCTGCAGCGGCCTGTCCCTGCAGCGGCCTGTCCCTGCAGCGGCCTGTCCCTTTGGAGCGGCCTGTCCCTTTGGAGCGGCCTGTCCCTTTGGAGCGGCCTGTTCCTGCAGCGGCCTGTCCCTTTGGAGCGGCCTGTCCCTTTGGAGCGGCCTGTTCCTTTGGAGCGGCCTGTCCCTTTGGAGCGGCCTGTCCTGTCCCCTGTCCCTTTGGAGCGGCCTGTCCCTTTGGAGCGGGCCTGTCCCTTTGGAGCGGCCTGTCCCTGCAGCGGCCTGTCCCTGCAGCGGCTGTCCCTTGTCCCTTTGGAGCGGCCTGTCCCTTTGGAGCGGCCTGTCCCTTTGGAGCGGCCTGTCCCTGCAGCGGCCTGTCCCTGGCCTGGCAGAGGCCTGTTCCTGCAGCGGCCTGGTTCCTGCAGCGGCCTGTCCCTGCAGCGGCCTGTCCCTTTGGAGCGGCCTGTCCCTTTGGAGCGGCCTGTCCCTGCAGCGGCCTGTCCCTGCAGCGGCCTGTCCCTTTGGAGCGGCCTGTTCCTGGAGCGGCCTGTCCCTTTGGAGCGGCCTGTCCCTTTGGAGCGGCCTGTTCCTGCAGCGGCCTGTCCCTTTGGAGCGGCCCTGTCCCTTTGGAGCGGCCTGTCCCTGCAGCGGCCTGTCCCTGCAGCGGCCTGTCCCTTTGGAGCGGCCTGTCCCTGCAGCGGCCTGTCCCTGCAGCGGCCTGTCCCTGCAGCGGCCTGTTCCTGCAGCGGCCTGTCCCTTTGGAGCGGCCTGTCCCTTTGGAGCGGCCTGTCCCTTTGGAGCGGCCTGTCCCTGCAGCGGCCTGTCCCTTTGGAGCGGCCTGTCCCTTTGGAGCGGCCTGTCCCTTTGGAGCGGCCTGTCCCTTTGGAGCGGCCTGTTCCTGGAGCGGCCTGTCCCTTTGGAGCGGCCTGTCCCTGCAGCGGCCTGTCCCTGCAGCGGCCTGTCCCTTTGGAGCGGCCTGTTCCTGCAGCGGCCTGTCCCTGCAGCGGCCTGTCCCTTTGGAGCGGCCTGTCCCTGCAGCGGCCTGTCCCTGCAGCGGCCTGTCCCTGCAGCGGCCTGTCCCTTTGGAGCGGCCTGTCCCTTTGGAGCGGCCTGTCCCTGCAGCGGCCTGTCCCTTTGGAGCGGCCTGTCCCTTTGGAGCGGCCTGTTCCTGCAGCGGCCTGTCCCTGCAGCGGCCTGTCCCTTTGGAGCGGCCTGTCCCTGCAGCGGCCTGTCCCTGCAGCGGCCTGTCCCTGCAGCGGCCTGTCCCTTTGGAGCGGCCTGTCCCTTTGGAGCGGCCTGTCCCTTTGCAGCGGCCTGTCCCTTTGGAGCGGCCTGTCCCTTCAGCGGCCTGTCCCTTTGGAGCGGCCTGTCCCTGCAGCGGCCTGTCCCTGCAGCGGCCTGTCCCTTTGGAGCGGCCTGTCCCTGCAGCGGCCTGTCCCTTTGGAGCGGCCTGTCCCTGCAGCGGCCTGTCCCTGCAGCGGCCTGTCCCTTTGGAGCGGCCTGTCCCTGCAGCGGCCTGTCCCTTTGGAGCGGCCTGTCCCTGCAGCGGCCTGTCCCTTTGGAGCGGCCTGTCCCTTTGGGGCGGCCTGTCCCTTTGGAGCGGCCTGTCCCTGCAGCGGCCTGTCCCTTTGGGGCGGCCTGTCCCTTTGGAGCGGCCTGTCCCTTTGGAGTGCCTTTGTGGCCCAACAGGGAGCGTCTGCGTCATTTGTGCAGCCGCTGATGTGAGAAGTCTTTATTTCAACAGGAGAAAAAAGTCATCCCGTTCGGGGCCATTTTTACGCTAATTTTCTGCTGCGCTGCTTGGAAATAATTGCTGTCAAAAATGCCACAACAGTTTAACAGCAGGAGTTTAGAGGGACTTTGAAAATGTGCTCCACGTCACGTTTTCATACGAGACCAGCTGTCTCTGCAGGTCTGCCAGCACGTCTGGAACAATGTCTGCTTCTACACTCTTATCATTACTATTATTATTATTATTATTATTGTGTCTTCTTCATAATCTTCTTGTTGAAACTTCCACGTCCAGGATACAAGAACACCTACCATGAAAGCCCGATTGGGAGCATGTGCTTTGATAGATAAGAGTAGTTTTAGATTACACAAAACTCTTTGATTGGTAGATACTTTATGTTAACAAGAGGAAATGCAGGTGACCATGAGTAGAGAATACACAGAAAACAGACAATAGACAGATATATACAATTATAAATAGTCATATTTATATATCTGGCCTAATTAACTAATAAAAAAGTTGTAATGTCTTTGTCTCATTAACTCTCATAATGGTTTTATTCTCCCTGAATATGAATGATCCATAGCGTTAAATGCATGTGTATGATCGGGACAATCCAAGTGAATCATCTGATGTGTGCGGACGACTACAGGACCGTCTCAATGTCTGCTCTGAGTTTGGTGTAGATCTGAATGAAAGGTTTAATAAGTATAATTATGTTATGTAGAACAAAATATGATGTAAATGTAAACTTTCCTCTATTTAAATTGTGTGGTGTTGAACTAACTGTATGTTTCAAACATAAATACTTGGGCAGTGTAGTAATGCCTCAGAAGAACATGCTCCTGCGCAGGTTTGGTGCTTGTACAGCGCAGGGGAAAAAGACACTTTTTGAAGCATACTGTTCGTCACTGTCAGTCAAAGTTTAGCGCTTCACAGTCCACATCATCCAAGGCACAAATCATCACATAAAACAAACACCAGAATCACAATTAAAACATTAAAATCACACAAGAAATTAAAACCATTAAAACTTTCAAATTACACAAGGAATAATAAAAAAAATAACCACAGTGCATTTAAAATGGAGATAAAATCCCTCAGTTGTAGCACAGCTAAACAGAACTGTCTTTAACCTGGTTTTAAACATTGTCAGAGAGGAGGCCTGTCTCACATCTTCAGGAAGACTGTTCCAGATTTTAGCAGCATGAATCTGAAAAGCAGCCTCCCCATGTTTAGTTCTGACTCTGGGCACTAACAGGAGTCCAGTCCCTGTGCTCCTCAGAGTCCCAGCAGGAGTCCAGTCCCTGTGCTCCTCAGAGTCCCAGCAGGAGTCCAGTCCCTGTGCTCCTCAGAGTCCCAGCAGGAGGCCAGTCCCTGTGCTCCTCAGAGTCCCAGCAGGAGGCCAGTCCCTGTGCTCCTCAGAGTCCCAGCAGGAGTCCAGTCCCTGTGCTCCTCAGAGTCCCAGCAGGAGTCCAGTCCCTGTGCTCCCCAGAGTCCCAGCAGGAGTCCAGTCCCTGTGCTCCTCAGAGTCCCAGCAGGAGTCCAGTCCCTGTGCTCCTCAGAGTCCCAGCAGGAGGCCAGTCCCTGTGCTCCTCAGAGTCCCAGCAGGAGTCCAGTCCCTGTGCTCCTCAGAGTCCCAGCAGGAGTCCAGTCCCTGTGCTCCTTAGAGTCCCAGCAGGAGTCCAGTCCCTGTGCTCCTCAGAGTCCGGGCTGGTTCATATGGGACTAACATGTCACTAATATATTTTGGTGCGAGGCCATGGAGAGAGAATAAAGTCTATTCTCTGAGCCACAGGAAGCCAGTGCAGAGACCTGAGAACTGGACTAATGTGGTCGTACTTCCTGGTTCTAGACAGGACTAATGTGGTCGTACTTCCTGGTTCTAGTCAGGACTAATGTGGTCGTACTTCCTGGTTCTAGTCAGGACTAATGTGGTCGTACCAAGTGTGCTGTGCAACTTGTGGACCAAAAACAAAAAAGCAACCATTCGCAAACTCAATGTGGCACAGAACGAGTGCTTGAAGATTTGGTTGAAAAGGCCAAGATGTGAAGTGCAGGTACTTTGTGGAATCAGGAGATTTCAGGCCATTTGATGTCTGATGTACAGTTTTATCTGTCGGCTCAATCAAAGCCACAGTATTATAATCAAAAGCCTGACAACTGTGGATTTCAGTGGCAGGCGGTGGCAGTCAGATCTGTGGAGACACTGGTGCAGCTGTCTGCTCTGAGACGTGAGGCTTATGTATTTATGTGATGTGTTTGTCTTATCCTGGACCACGAGTCTGTAATAAAAGTGTGATGATGATTATGATGATGATAATATCTATATCATCAAGTAAATCAGCTGAGGTAAATATGAAAATTAGATAAGTTCGAAAACGTTTAAAAGTCCATTTATTTCTGAAATTCCATAAACAATGTGACATTAATGCATAACAGACACTCAAAGTGATGTATATCAAGTCTTTATTTGGTATTATGTTGGCTCAGAATATTTTTTAAACATACTTTAGAGCCCTAATCATCATTTATAGAGGTAAATGACCTTCTGAACAATATTCTATCTTTCACCTGTTTTGTCAGGATTACTGAGTAGACGTGTTTGGGAGCCGTTTTGTTCCTGATATTTGTGTGGATGAAGCAAAAACTACTTATTATTATTAGTATTTTGCAGAAGGAATGCAATGTTGGAACATGGATTATTTTACTTTCCATAACTACCCTGACAGAAAATCCTGTCAGTGCATATACAGTCGCTTGAAAAAACGGGAAAAAAGTGACTGAAAGGAAATGAAAATGTATTCGGTGTGTGGGACTGTCCAGGGAGTTTAGCTGGAACATCCTCGCTCGGATACGTCTTCGCTTAGTGCTGCTTTAAATAGAGCTTTAAAAACGAGTGGGGGATTTGTAAAGCCTTGTGAGACACGTGTGATTTAATTAAGAACTGTTAATGTCAGGCCGGATTCCAAGGCGTTCACAAGGTGGTCCAAAATCAGACTGGCAGCGGAAACATTAGTAATTGGAACGTCAAGAAGTCTTAATTTTCCTTTTGTTTGTGCACAGGTCGGTTGCTAAAATAGCCCAGCAGCCGTTAGCCATTCTGTGCTTCGCATGAAAGTTATGGGTGACGTCAGAACCCGAGGGATATTCGTAAATACTGTGTCAGATGTGCTTAAGATTAAAAAGTATAAAGAGGCATGCAAAAATAGTCTATTGTAAGGATGTTAAAACTATTGTTGGTATATGTTGTGATTAGTTCTGTCCAAAATATTGCAAACAAATATTAACACTGGGGATCACCGCAACACATGCACTTTGAAAGACCACCTGCCAAACACACTCAACTCTCCTCCGCAGCTCTTGTCAAGACATATGGATACGACTAACTGTAATATATACTAAAATCGCAATTCTTTCCCACTTAAAATCTAAAAAAAATAATAACCAGAGCCGTATTCATAACAAATACTAATTGGTTTTATTATACCTCACTATATACTGTATATATCGTTGACAATTATACTGAGAAACTATGGATAATCACAGTATGGCCAAATCATAATCATGTATAGTGACATTTGTATCATGACACTTATCGCGTCAACAGCTGTAGGGCAATGCACAAGGATCATTTTCTATTAAGTTATATTTCATACATGAGATGAGATTAGACTAAAATGCTGCTCAGCCCCCAAAGATAGAAATACAAAAACTGTTGCGGGATCAAGGATATGAACCCTTTAAGCCTGGCGTACATGGACAGAGTAACTGGAGACAACAGTTTCAAGGCGGCTTTTGGCGACTGAGAGTAGATGATGAAGATGATGAAGATGATGGAGATGATGGAGATGATCAGTTGAAATCAGTCGATGTGAGCGCTCTTACAACTGGAGATAAACAGTCGATCTCTGGATTCAGTCAGTTGCCCGTGTTCTACTTTTCGGCAACTACTGTAGTTGTCCTCAGTTTCGGAGATATCACCTGATGTGTGCTCCAACAACATGTGTGTATTGTGTCCTCTACAGTTTATGTCAGAAAACACACTGTAGTTGAGGCCAGTTGCTGTTATTCCCCAGACTGTCCGCTCCAAATATAAAGACTAAAGTTATCTGGCCAATTCCATTACTATTTGAAAACACTACTTTTAGGGTTTAGGGACGTTTTCCCCATAATATTTAAAAAAATGCGTCTGGAAAAAAAAATCACTGACTTCATCTTTAAAAAATAGCACAGCTAATTCTTAATACTTTTTTTAAAGGTATTTAGGAGTTTTTTGATGGTATGTCCAACTTTTTTTATTTTTATCATTAACAATCATTTGGAGAGTCCTTATAAAAATACTTGAAAAAGTAAAAATGCCAGACCATAATTTTTCATAGAAAACATTAAATGATACATGCCTGTACAATAAAGCCCTGGGAATCACTGAGAGCAGAGTCTTTTACACTTCTCTGTGTGAAAAAGCTCCAAATATATGACAGAAGCCAAAAAAGCTTGTTTTTGACTATAATGTTAAATGTTTATGGTTTGAAACTTGGGTACCCCAGCTTTAAAGGTAAACCCTTGGTTTCCTTCATATATCCTTCATACAGCACCAACATGTGATTGATAACTTTGCCTGAAGCTGAATTCTCGCAGTATTTGTGAGTTCACAAACACTCGAGAATCCATCTTGTCCCGCTCCCGCCAACCCTTTTCGAGTAGAACATCTAGGTGTTCAAGCCAATCACGCGCCAGTCTGGGGGTTTAGGGCGGGATATCCGGGTTTGAGGAAAGCAAGAAGTGCCGGGCTGAAGCAAAACAAACATGGCTACGCAGGAGGACGGACGCGTAGCTGAGGCTATCAAGTCAGTTTTAGCAGAATCTACAAATTTTTTTTTGAAAGATGAACAGTGAGAGGCGCTTTGTGCATTTCTGGACGGCAAAGATGTTACCGGGATTGGTTTAAGTCAAACCTTGGTAGGCGGGCACACAGCGTCACTTCGCCCAA